GTTTTTTTTTTGTTTTTTATTTTTTTCTGTTTCCTATATGTCCCAGAATGGAGTGCCCTACAACTTGGAAGCGCCAACAGACATAAACAACACAAACAAAAAACAGAAAGCTCTAACCTCTTTGGCCAAAGGATTAGGAAAAGGGAAGCCCAGCAGAGACTTAGCATTGAGACATTTTACCCAGTGAGTGGCAGTGGGCCTAGTCTGCCCAAAGCAGTGGTCCTAGCAGAGATAGAGTGCAAAGCTTATTAATGTGTGGCTATAGAACAGCCCAGGTAAATTGTTGTCCATCCATAGGTCTGGCAGCCCCCCACCCACTGACCTAATTACACCATGCAGCCTAAGGATGTGCCTTCCACCTCTTTGTATGGCAGTGGAAGGTATACAGTGGGATCTCAGGCAGCCGGGAGAACAAAGCAGACACATATAGCATCACAAGGGCTTACAAAACTAAATTTCTTTGGAACTGTAGACCACAAAAGTAGATCAGAACCTATATGCTAATCTAAATGAAGACATATTTTTCTTACCACTTTAGATTATTAATTTCACTTAAAGAGATTTTTGCCTTTTAAAATATGTATTGGTGGCCGGGTGCAGTGGCTCACGCCTATAATCCTAGCACTCTGGGAGTCCGAGGTGGGTGGATTGTAATTGGCTAACCATAAATATAAAATAAAATATGTGTTGGTCATGCTTAAATGTGAGTCTCTACCATCAGTTGAATTATTGGTTTATTCTACTTTCTGCTTCTGTTCTTTAGGTCTGTCATTTTTTTCTTTAAAATGTGTAGCTCTAAAAAAAAAAAAAAATGTGTAGCTCTAATAAATCCTAAAACTGTGCTGCATGTGTTCTATAGGATATGAGTTCATCTTGGTTTGTTGGCTATTTCCAACTTCATTGTACTTCCTCTACTGCAAATTTAGGCTATTAAGAGGATATTTATTTGTACTTCAAAACTAAGCTTGCTTTGCCTCTTTGAATCTTTATTGGCTAAAATATTAGTTATCATTGATTATAAGTTGATGGCTGAGCAGTTTTTAATTCCACTGTGTTAAAAAACCAGACTAGAATGTTAAGCTGATAAATCAAGATGCAGATGTAATCAACACTGGACTCTAGGAATAAGCACTTGAGAGGAACGTGTATTCTGTTTTGGGCTTGAGTGTTCTATATATATGTTATGTCTAATTGGTTTCGAGTGTTGTTCAAGTTTCATTGTTTTCTTATTGATCTTCTGTCTGGTTCTACCTATTTTCAAAAGTGGGGTATTAAGTTCTCCAAATATGTTTGTTGAATTTCTTATTTCTCTCTTCATTCTGTCAGTTTTTGCTTCATGTATTTTGGATCACTCTTTTTAGATTCACTTGTGTTTACAATTGTTAGGTCTTCTTGATGGATTGATCTCTTTATCATTATGAAATACCTTTTTTCTCTCGTACCAATTTTTATCTTAAAGTCTAAATGTTTAAAATTTGTTTTTTATGGTTGCTATGAGGATTGTCATTAACATTTTAATTTATAACAATCTAATTTGAACTAATAGCACCTATTCTTCTAATATTCTTTATGCCCCCTTTTCTCTCATCATCCTGGGTCTCCTCTTCTGCATGTGTTGGTACTTTTGACGGTGTTCCATAATCATTAAGGCTCTGTTCTTTTTTCTTCATTTTTATTTCTTTCTGTTTCTCAGAGTAGATAATGTCAATCAACCTATTTCAAATTTGACAACTTTATTCCACCTGCTAAATATTCTATTTAGCCCATCTGATGAATTTTTTAGTTTAGTTACTATGCCTTTTACGTCCAGAATTTCTGTTTGTTTCCCTTTTCTAATTTCTCATTATTGAAGTTTTCTATTTGATAAGAAATCATTCTTATACTTTCCTTCAGTACTTGGGACATGATTTTCTTTATTTCTTTGAACTTACTAAAAAAAGCTTAAAGTCTTTATCCAGTAAGTTCTATCCTCAAGGACAGTTTTTATTAATTGCATTTTTTCCTGTGCATGAGCCATAATTTTTTTTCTTTGTGTTTCTTACTCTGTTTCATTGAAAACTGGGGATTTTTGTTTCATTTATTACACTTTTCTATTTGGTTCTTTTAATAACTTTTGTCTCTTTATTAATATTCTTTATTTGGCAAGACTTTTAGTTCTTTAGACATGGATTCCTTTAATTCTTTGAATATATTTAATATAACTGATTTAAATTGTTTTTTCAGTAATTCGAACTAAATCTAGGCTTTCTCTGGGGCAATTGCTATTGAATGCATCTTTCCTTTTGTCTATTTTGTTTCTTTGTATGTCTCTCAATTTTTTTTGTTGAAAACTGGACAATTAATATATAATGTGTCAACTCTGGAAATCAGACCCCCCCATTTGTTGCTACTATTTATTATTGTTGTTTGTTGAGTGACTTTTTTGAAGTAGCTCTTTGAAATCTGTATTATTTATAGTGCATGGCCACTGAAGTCTTTGTGTGGTTAGTTTCATAATCGTTTAATGATTGAACAGAGATTTCTGTAAAAACCTGGAACCAGTAATTCTCCCTGTTTTTGCTGAAATGTATGCGTGCCTGTGTGTGTGTGTGTGTGTGTGTGCGCGCGCGCGTGTGTGTGCGTGTGTACAATTATGCACACACACCATCAGCACACAGGCAGGTGGCTGTTCTTTAACCTTAATTTCCTGTTCACCCAGGGCCTAACGGTCAGCCAGGTGTGAGAGTTTAGGGATTTCTCAGGTCTTTAGTGAACATACACATGACCCCATGCATGTCCATAACCTTCTAGATTGCCAGGAAGATGACAGAGCTTTTTAAAGCCCCTATGTACAAGTCATTCTCAACTTTTCCTTTTAAACTTTTGGGTTGCTTTGTTGTTTGGCTCAACTGTTACCCACTACCTCAGGTTGCAGCCACGATTTTAAAAATCTCCTCAAAGTGTTTCTGACAAATGTTTCTAGGGTCAAAGCTTTTCATAGTGGGTAAGCTCTGCATCATGTAAAATAAAAATATCCTTCCAGGTGGGGTTTCACAGGAAGTCATCAGGTCAAATAAAGACAATTTTCTGGAAGGGGCTTTGAAGGATCTCTACCATTGTCTGTCTCCTCTCTGCTTTGACTGTGAGGCTGTTGGTTTTCATTCTTGAGTGTGGCTGTTGGGTATAGTGCTGCCACAGAGTTGGGGAGAAGAGAATGGGGATAGGGTAAGTTAAATGCCATGAAGCTCACTATTCTTGTCAAGATTCAGCTTTTTAAAAATACATTAACATTCCACCGATTGTTGCAAACCTTTGGTTAATTTCCAGAGTTCTTAGAAAGTTTATTTGGATGCTGCCAATTTTCATGTTCTTGTTATGGGGAGAAGTTTTTCAAAAGTTCTTAACTTTGCCATTTTTATTGACAGTACTCTCTGTTGCTTTTATTTCCTTTTCCTGTACAGTTTTGTTTTTCTTTTAAGCCATTGACAGTTCTTAATATCAGAATCTGTCTTTACTGATCTAATTAACATGGATAATGACACGTAGATCCTGAAATTAAATTTCATAATCTTAACAAATATTATAACTATTAACCTATTTAAGAATCACCCTTATAAAAATATTTTTAAGGTAAACTATTGTGCAGATAGAAATAATTGCCAGGATTTATCATTAGCTATTTGGGTGGTAATTAGTTTTTTTTAATGCAAATTCTTACTGAAATAATTTTAGAATCACATGCAGTTGTAAGAAATTATACAGAGATCCTGTGTATCCAGTACCTGGTATTTCCCAACAGCAGCCTCATGATAAAGAATACTTCAGAATCACAACCAGGATACTGATATTTTGATAGAGGTGTGTGATTTCTTTTTCACCATTCTTATATTGTGGTTTTAATTTGCATTTCCCTGATGGTTAATGATGTTGAACATCTTTTCATATGCTCATTTGCCATCTGTAAACTCTTTTTGGTGAAATGTCTGTTTCTCTTTTGCCTGTTTTCTAACTGGACTGTTCTTTTCTGTTTGAGTTCTTCATATAGTCTAGATCTTAGTCCTTTGTTGAATATGTGATTTGTATATATTTTATACCTTTTTGAAATTTGTCTTATCTAGTCCTCTTAACAGGATCATTTGAAGAGCAAAAAATTTAAATTTTGATGAAGTACAGTTTATCAGTTTTATCTTTTCTGGATTGTGCTTCTGGTGTCAATTCTATAATAGCTTCATAGTTTTACATTTTACATTCAGAGTGGTGATCTCTTTTGAGTTAATTTTTGCATAGGTTATGAGAATTAAGTCACAGTTCTTTTATTTTTATTGTTTTGTCTGTGGATGTCCAGTTGCTTCTGTTTCATTTGTTGGAAAGGCTGTTCTTCTTCACCGAATTGCTTTTCCGGTTTTGTCAAAGTCAGTGGTACATATTTGGGTCTATTTCTAGTTTCTCTCTTCTCTCCAACTGATTTATGTGATCCCTCTGCCAGTGTCACACTATTGTGATTCCTCCCACTTTATTCTTATTTTTGAAGATTATTGTAGCAGTTCTAGGAGTTGTGGCTTTCTAATGTTTTGAGTAAGCTTATCTATGCCAACAAAATATCATCCTGGGATTTTCATAGAAGTTACACTAAACAAAAGATCAATTTGGGAAGAATTGGCATCTTTAGATTTTGTGTCTTTTAATCCATGAACATGGTGTGTCTTCCCATTTATTTAGGGCTTCTTTGATTTCTTTCATCAGCATTGTGTATATTTCAGTACATATATCCCATACATGCTTTCTTAGATTATACCTAAGCATTGCATTTTATTTGGAATAGTTGTAAATGGTATTGTTTTTATTGTTGGTTTCTGCATATTTGTTGTTAATATATAGAAATGCAATTGATTTTTGGATTTGATCTTGTATTCCACATCTTTGCTAAATCTACTTATTAGTTCTAAGAAGGATTTCTTTTCCTTTTGAGTCCTTGGAATACAAGGACTCACACAAGTGTGTAGTCTGCAAACAGGGACAGTTTTATTTCTTTTCTAATGTGCGTGTCTTTTTTTCCTTGCCTTGCTATAATGGCTAGAACTTCTAATACCATGTTGAATAAAAGTGATGATAGCCACATCCTTGACATGTTCCCAGTCTCAAGGCCTGTACATTCAATCTTTCACTAGTAAGTGAGACATAACCTAGAGGTTGAGGTTGAGATAGTTTTACTTTTCTCCTATCTTGTTGAGAGTTTTTATCATGAATAGGTGTTCGCTTTTGTCAAATCCTTTTTCTGTGTCAGTTGATATGATTGTGTATTTTTCCTCTTTAGCCTGTTGATAGGGATGAATTACAATGATCAGTTTTTGAATTTGGAACCAGTCTTGCATATCTTGCATAAAAATCACTTGGTCATGATTTGTAATTTTCTGCATTGCTAGATTCAATTTGTTAATATTTTGTTGTGAATTTTTTTGTCTAATTAGATACTCTATAGTTTTTTTAAGTAACATAATGTAAAATTCACCATTTACAACTATTTTTAAGTGTACAATTCAGTAGTATTAATTACATTCACAGTGTTGTGTAAACATCACATCACCGTTGTTTATTCCCAAAACCTTTTCGTTATCCCAGAGACTCAGTAACCATTAAGCCGCAACTCCCCACTGTCTCCTCTAATCTACTTTCTTCCTGAATTTGCTTCTAATCTATTTTCTTTCTGAATTTGCTTATTCTAGATATTTTATATAAGTAGAATTACAATATTTGTCCTTTTGTCTAGCTTATTTCACTTAGCATAGTATATTCAAGGTCCATCCATATTGTAACATATCAGAATTTCATTCTTCTTTATGGCAGAATATTATCCTACTATGTATATGCCATGTTTTGTTGATTCATTTCTGTGGTAGACACTTGGGTTGTTCTGTTTTGTTTGGAGACTTTGGGCACTACCCTCACATGTTGCTTAGTGATGGAGATACATTCTAAGAAATGCTTCATTAGGCCATTTCCTCACTGAGTGAGCACTGTAGAATGTGTTCACACAAATCTAGATGGTATAGCCTATTGCTTCTATACTGCAAACCTATACAGCATGTTGCTGTACTGAATACTGTAGGCAGTTATAACACTGGTAAGTATTTATGCATCTAAACATAGAAAAGGTATAGTAAAAATTTGGTATTATAATGTTATAGAACCTCCATCATATATATGGTCCATCATAGACCGAATCATTGTCATGTGGCACATGACTATATTTAAATTTTTTATTTTAGCCAGCAGTCAGCCTTTTAGGGTTTATCACACACAGGTTCTGACCTCCTGTTGTGGGCTGTGGTTCCAGTAACAGCTTAATTTTCAGAGCCTTTGCAGTCTTATTTTGGTCTGCTTGTTTTATATGGTGCTGCAGGTACCCCTACTAGTCCCAGCTTGTGCAGGATCAAACTAACTCTATGACACAGACATATTGATCCCATTTTTAAGGTAAAGCAGTAGTCACAGTGAGGTTATATGCACCAAGAAAGTGACGACCTAGGTTCCTAATGCCTGATAACACTCCCCCCAACATAGCATATTTCTACTAATAATTTATAATGTGTTGTTTTCGTGAATTATTTTAAAAGATGTACTAAAATAGGCAGATTATATCTAGTCATCAGTTGCAATATTTAGAAAAAAATCTCCACCTGAAAGAAAAAACAAAAACTAATTACAATAGAGAAGATATGCCTTTGAAGTGAAGATATTTGTATTTTTAAAATGTCATTTTTTATTAAGTGAAATAGGGAAGCAAACAAACTCAATTTCTGAAATTGTATTATGAAAGCGAATATTTCTATTTTGAAACAGCTGGCACATTGCGATTTTTATCCTAATTATAAATTGCTTTGTTACAACCATCATAGTGATGTGGGTCAGTTATGAGAAACTTAAAGTAGATCTTACTGAGCTCAACTTTACAAAGTAAATATCAATAGAATCATAAAAGCCAGAAACATATGACTCCCTTTTGTTCATTATCTTCCTTTCCTCCCTTGTTGTCAGAAATATATGCCTAATTTTAAAAACTAGGTTCCTTGAAGGTGCTGTAAGTCATGAAGATTATGTGAATTTATTTTGAAAGTAAATAATGATGGATTTAGAAGCATAGATTCTGGACTCTCATTGCTGAGAGTCATAGTCCATCTTTAACTACTTTCTTGATGAGCATAAATTCACTGTGACTGTTTATCTTAAAATGGGATCAATAATGTCTGTGTCGTAGAGTTAGTTTGAAGTTTAATAACAGTGATCAATAATTAATTATTTTTATTTCTATTATACTTGGTTGATGCTTGAACTAGAGAACATCAGGAAGGTTTGGTTCATTAAGAGTATAAAATAAGGCAAAATACTTTTAGGAGAGGAAGTAGCTATCAGTTGTGGTTTTGAATCTAGAGATATGGAAATGTGGGAACTTGACTTGCTTTGGTTACTTTTTATATTTTATAGCTTAATAACTTAACACATGAAGTCATTTAGTGCATATCTGGCATTCTGTTTTTCTAGGCATACAATTTAAAGTTATTATAATTGGTCATTTAAAGCAAAATATCCTAATTTGTTTTATGCCAGAATTAAATCCTATTTATTTCTACATCTTTTAAGGAAAGCTGATGATATGTAACACACTTTTTCTTTTATGACTTTATAAAATCAGCTGCTGCTATTTTTTCAGCTAATACAATTAATGTTTTTTTTAAAAGCTCCTAATTAAAAATGCAATACACTCAAATTATATTACTAAGTTTATTTAGTTAAGTTCTCATCAGATAAAGGTTTGATCTAGCTTGATTGTGGGAACTTATGCAATGGTTGTTAAATTGGAATTCTAATAGCAGCCATCAAATATAGTAGATTTCCAGTTATTTCTTGTTGGTTTCTTCTGCTAACTAGATTGAAAGCTTCTAAGAGGCTCTTACTTTTCATCTCTTACATTGTGAACATCTGCCTCTTCAGTTAATTCTTGCTAGTTTATTGTGTTCTTACATCAAATTTGCCTTCAGTATGGTATAACAAAAAGACTTTCTGAATCTTTTGAAATTTTAGTTTGTGCTAAAAGGTTGGGAGAGAAAATGAAGAATGAGCTGGATGAGCTGAGCAGAGCCTTTTACATTCATAGTCCTTTCTTCAGAAGGATTTATCACTTTATTTGAAGACGTTCTTATGCACTCCAAATGTATTGTGTCAGTAATTGTGTTAGAGCCATTAACTCTGATCTCAGTTTTAAAATTCCACTACAAGCTAGAACTAGAGATAACATAACCAGTAAAGGTCATTTGCATCAAAGAGTACAAATGGCAGTGCTTATTATACCTGAGCAAAAAGGTGAGACTTCATTCATGCTTTCAATATTTATTGAATGTTCTCTGTGTGCTAAGATCTTGTAGGGGATGGGCAGAAGCAGAGCGGGCTGGCACTGTGGTCAAAGAAGAACATGGGACATAGAGGGCAGGGGTTACCCAAAATAAAATCAGATGTGATTACTAAACTAAGGGGAAAGGGATGCTTGGCAGGCAGGCAGGACACCATCCAACTAACCAGTGTAGTTGAATTAGCTAGTATACCACTCTGCTGCTTGACTTTTGGCTTTAGTAATATTAACACAGCCAAGTACATGTGGTAGGACAGTCAGCGTCTTCCCTAACTCTCAAAAGACCAACAAATATGAGTCAGTGACTTCCATATTAAGCCAAATGAAATATCATTGTTTCATGGTTTTTAAAAAAAACATTACATTTTAGAATTATACAAAAATTGCAAAGATAGTATGGAGTTCTTATATGTCCTACCCCCCTAGTTTTTCCTATTATTAATATCTTACAGTAGTATGGTACCATTTAAAAAATAATGAGTATTGATACATTATTATTAACTAAAGTCCATATTTTACTTAGATTTTCTTAGTTTTTACCCAGTTTCCTTTTTTTATTCTAGAATCCCTTCTTAAGTACCATAAACGTAATATGGTACTTAAGTCATGTCTACAGTCATGTCTACATGACTGTAGACATGTCTTTTTAGGCTCATGTCTCTTTAGGCTCCTTTTATCGGTGATGGTTTCTCACACTTTGTTTTTGACATGGTTTCTCACACATGTCTCTTTAGACTCATGTCTCTTTAGGCTCCTCTTATCTGCGATGGTTTCTCACACTTTGTTTTTGATGACCTTGACAGTTTTGAGGAATATTTAGTCAAGTATTTTACATAATGTCCCCATCCCTCAACTGGAATTTGTCTGATGTTCTTTTCATTATTAAACTGGAGTTAAGAGATTTGGGGGTTCAACCACAGAGGTAAAATGCCATTTTTACTATTAATACATTATGTCAGGAGTACATACTGTCAGTATAACTTTTCACAGCTGACATTGGTCTTGATCATCTGCCTGAGGTAAGTTTTGCCAGGTTTCTCCACTGTAAAGTAACTCTTTTTTTCTTCCTTTCTATACTATATTCTTGGAAGGAAGTTACAATATGTAGCCTATGCTTAAGGAGTGGGGAGTTATGTTCCACCTTAGAGATAGCAGAGTCTCTACATACATTATTTGGAATCCATCTACCTGAGAGATTTGTTTCTTCTTCTCTATTTATTTGTTCAGTAATTTCTAGCAGTATGGGCTCATGGATATTTACTGTATACTTTGGATTATAATTCAGTACTACTTAATTTTGTTGCTGAAATTTTTCTAGTTGGTCATTTGGGAGCTCTTTCTGTTGATTCTTCCTTCCCTTTCCACATTCCCCTCAATGTAGGTTGGGGGAGGTTGGTTTGTTATTAGTACTTTTTTACTGTTTGGCACTGTAAGATGCTGCAAGTTCATCTAGTATATTTCATGCCCCTATACAGGAATCAGCCATTGCTCTAGGAAGCCCTGATTCCTTTTATTGGAAAATAGTATTAGAACTAAAGATCTGGGTGATAGGTGTGTTCTTGTTACTGGTGTGTCATTGCTTCTAGGCCATCTCAGGTGACAGAGCAAGTAAATCCATATGTATACTAACTCATGTATGTACACACATCTGTAAATATTCGCATATGTATGTAATCTATATTTTGCTAAACATAAGTTCATACTGATATCACCAACTCTAATACATTACCATATGAATCACTCTTGCCTCTTACCCTTGTTTTTATGTAAACTCACATTCCAACAGTGAGAAACCTGGCTCCCACCATCTATGTATTTAATTGTTCAATTCCAGTGTACGTGTGTAGTGGCATCAGAATTGTTAACCCACATCTCCATGGGAACTAGAGTACAGTGTGTATATAGTTTCTT